CGAGGGGCCCCCCCTATCTGTCCTCATTCTTTTAGCGTTCAGGTCTCAGGTAAAGAAGTTATAAAGTATTATATTTGTTTATTAATAAATTTAAATATATATTTATTTATTTATATTTACTCATACAAACAAAAACATATGCAACACACAAACAAAAAACACCAGGGAGCTGCTAGGGGCCCCCGGTGGCTGCTGCTAGAGGCTGTCGATACAACCACCTAACTGCAGCACAATTGTGACAGCTGCTGCTGCTGTTGCTGCTGTTGCTGTTGTTGCTACTGCTGTTGCTGCTGCTGTTGCTGCTGCTGTTGCTGCTGCTCGTGCTGCTGCTGTTGCTGCTGCTCGAATCATTCCTGATGCTGCTGGTGGCTCTGCTGCTGCTGCTGCTATTACAAGAAGCTGTGCTGCTGCTCTGTTGCTGCAACCGTCTCTGTCATCTCGGGGCCCCCAACTAAAACAAAACCACAAAAATAACGCCGCAGGGGAAATGTGCTGGGGGCCCCCTGGCGGCTGGGGGCCCCCCTAGCGATTGGGGGCCCCCTAGCGGTTGGGGGCCCCCTAGCGGTTGGGGGCCCCCTACCTGGGTTAGAGGCCCCCCTCGGTTACGGTTTTTCCTGGCGGTTGCAGGGCCCCCTACCTGGGTTGGGGGGCCCCCTAGAGGTTGGGGGCCCCCCTAGCAGGTGGGTACTACGTGCTTAGTTGAAGGGGCCCCCTTGCGGTGAGGTTCTGTAGCCTTAGGGGTCTGTAGAGAGTCGCCTATGGCTTGCAGCAGCAGCAGCAGCAGAAGCAGCAGCAAGTCTATGCCACGCTACACAGCAACAGCAGCAAGAGCAGCAGCAACAGCAGCAGTAGAAGCACCAGCAGCAGCCCGAGCCGTGCAGCAAAAGAGAGCGTCATCAGAGCTTAGTGAAGAAGGAGTTGAGGGGGCCCCCTCAGGGGCCCCCAGTTCTATACAGAGTAAACACTGTCGGCCTTTACAGCACAAAAATATAACTATCACCGCACAGGGGGGCCCCCAACAACACTCTAACACCCAACTAGTAGGGGGGCCCCGGGGCCCCGGGGCCCCCAGACCCCGGGGCCCTTTAAACAAATTATCTACAGCTCTAAACAACCAGAAAAAGACCTAACTGCGCACGATGGGGCCCTAGGGGCCCCTAGGGGGCCCCTGTCGCGAGTCCTATAGGGGCCCTCTGTGGGGCCCCCGGGGGCCCCAGTCATCAGTCTAGTGGGGCCCTTGGGGGCCCCTTGGGGCCCCATGGGGTCCTAGGGGCCCCCAATGGTGAGTCCTGCGGTGCCCTCAGAGCTCAGTAGGCTACTGAGGGAACCAGGGGGCCCCCTTCAATGCAAACCCCTTAACAGAACGCACCTAGGGGCCCCCCAACAGAGTGCTGAGGAGCCATTGGGACCCGACGGGACCCCGTGGGGCCCCAAGGGGCCCCAGGTGGGCTCATGGGGTCCAAGGGGCCCCGGGGGGCCGAGGGGGGCCCAAGGGGCCCCAGGGGGGCTCAAGGGGTCCGAGGGGGGCTCAAGGGTTCCGAGGGGCCCCAGGGGGGCCCCAGGGGGGTCGATGGGGGCCCCAGGGGGGCCCCAGGGGGGTCGAGGGGGGACCCAGGGGGGCCCCAGGGGGCCCCTCATTGGTGGCCTAGGTTGGTCAACTCCTGAAGGAATTCTGTGGGGGTAACAAACTCGGTAGAGCCGAAGATAAGCTGAGGAGACACCGCAGCAGGACGGTTTCACACGCTCGTCTGCTGCTGCTGCTGCTGTTGCTGCTGCTGCTGCTACTGCTACTGCTGCTACTGGTGGTGGTGCTGCTGATAGTGCTGCTACTGGTGGTGCTGCTACTGCTGCTATTGCTGTTGCTGCTGCTGTTACTGCTGCTGCTGGCTTTTGTTTATCCTCTGTTAGCCAGGGGAATAAGTGCACCAATAATGAAGACAGCAGCAGCAGCAGCAGCTGCAGCAGGAGCAGCAGGAGCAGCAGAGCAGCAACATCAGCAGCTGCAGCAGCAGTACGAACAGCATCAAACGAATCGACAGCAGCAGCAGCAGCAACAGGATAAAGAGCAGCACCAGAAGCAGCACGAACAGCTGAAGCAGCGTCAACAGCAGCAGCATCAACAGCAGCAGCAGCAGCAGCAGTAGCAGATGTTTGTACCTGTTTCTGTGTCTTAGCAGCAAGCTCTCGCACTGCTGCTGCTTCTACATACGAGCCCCCCCCAACCACAAAGACAATAGCTTGTCTCACGGGGGGCCCCCGGGTAGAGGTGCCCCCGGGGGAGACAGCTGTGCTGGAGGCCCCTGACGACTGCTGTCCCCTCTGCAGCAGCAGCAGCAGCAGCAACAGCAGCAGCAACAGCAACACATCACAAGCAGCCGCAGCAGCAAAAGCAGAAGCAGCAGCAGCACAAGCAGCAGCAGCAGCACAAGCAGAAGCAGCAGCAGCACAAGCAGCAGCAGCAGCACAAGCAGCAGCAGCAGCACAAGCAGAAGCAGCAGTGTGTGTTTGGGTTTAGCAACACAAAAGGAGAAATGAAAAAGTATTTAAACACAAAGGAGACAAGACAGAGACAGAAAAAAAAAGGAGACAGTTGCATACCCGCAGGTTGATGCACTGTCTCCCTGTCTCCTCCTGCCCCTCCAG